CTAAACCCAAATTTACAGCACATGTTGAAAAAAATTAGAAAAATAGTTTTAACTGCTGATCATGATGCAATTAACGGTCTAAATTAACAGAAATTAACGGATGTAGAAACGGCATCAAGAAAAGGATGACAATGAACAAAATAAAGGGAGTAGAGGGATGAGAATGAACAAATCTGTAGTAAAGGGACGGTTATGAATAAAATTTAAAAGTAGAGGGACGACAATGGGCTTTAACCCTAATATTTTATTATAAATTTTTTTAGGTCAAAACCATTAAAATTTGAAACAGTTTAATAATTATAAAATAGAATAATCCTCAACAAAAACATGAAATGATTAATTAATAATTATATTTCTCAGATAAATTTTAGATTTGAATGTTTAATGTTAAATTTTAGTAGTATATAAAATTTAAATTAATTTAGTAAACTTTCAATTTTATTGATTTGATTTTACAATTTTAATTTTATCTAAACTCTTGATTTTAAAAACTTTAATTTCTATTACCCATATCAAATTCAATATTCAATTATCCCACTTTAAAGTGTAGAATTATAATTAATAAAAGAAAAATATCAAACATACTATTAAAGTTTTTAGGAGAAAAAAAAATCCAATACACTACCCATAATCTCATTGTACAGACAAAAAAAAAAAAATGTAGAATTATAATAGAAAAGAAAAATATCCTACCTTCCACGTCTCTTTGTTTCCGCCACTTGCTTCAACCATGTTGGTCGCTTTCTAATATGTTTGGAGTAATACTAAATAAAGTTCCCTCTCCATCTATGCATCCCCACTACACTTTTTTCTAAGTAACTCTACCACCACATGTATGTAAGAAGTATTTATTGTCCCGCCGGCCACCACAATAGCTACCAGCTAGCATGAGGTATGATATTTGATCACTCTTCAAGAAAATTACCATGTACTAAAAGAGCCTCGCATGCCTGCTTGCATATAGATTTGAAAATTTAGACTTGGATTAATTACCAATATTTAAGCCTTGCATGCCTGCTTGCATATAGATTTGTAAATTTAGATTTGGATTAATTATAAATATTTCACGGTATATGTAGTTATGAAAAATATTATTAGGACAATTATTTTATCCTATCTTTTTGTATAATTTATCGTATCATTAAAATGATTGATTTTTTTAATTCATATGGAATCTATGATATTAAATGCATCAACTCATTTAATAACATGTGAAAATCGTACAAAAAAATAAGATAAAAAAATTGTTTTAATAGCACCACCCATGTACTTATTTGGTACCTAGCTATATAATAGCATGCATATAGTACCTGCACTATATATACATATGCTATTATTAATCTAAGCCATAGTCTAATGTTTCTATTATTATGGTTATCAAAATCACAATTTTATTTATAAAATTGTATAATTTTACAATTTTAGGTATTCAAATTGCAATGAATTTAAGTTAAAATCATAATCTCATAAGCTTGAAGTTCAAAATTGTAAAGTTGTAGTAAACTCGTAAAATCAAATAAAATCAAGATTTTACAAATTTAAAAAGTTTCATAAATTTTTGTGTCATAATAGGTTGTTTTGTAGTGATTTGAATTTGAGCCATATAATTTGTATTTTTTTTTTTTGGGGTTTTCAAGTAAAAATTTTAAGAGTTTATTAATTTTCT